CTTTTCTCTTCCATGACAAGACCAGTAGCTGAATGCAGCTCACCCGCCTGTTTTCCGATCACAATTGGTGAGGTGCAGAGACCGGAACGGGTCCAGCATGTAGCTACCCGGATCATCCCCAGTTTAAGGGGTATGTCATACGAGGACCGAGGTAGGAGACTAGGGCTGTATACCTGTCATATCGTCGGCTTCGAGTTGATCTCATAATGACGCACCGCATATTGCACCTGGGCCACTTCCCTATGTTGAGGCCGCTGCTGCACGTTATCGCACTAAGCAACGCACGCGGACACCAGTACAAACTAGTGGTACCGGATTTAAAGCGCATCGCTCACCCTCTATGCTTCGAGCGACGAGTGGTGAAATAGTGGAACAACTTGCCGGAGACACTAGTCGAGGCGAAATCGGTCTGGGAATTGAGATTCCTCGATACCCACTTTGCGGACTACAGGTATAGGGAGCCTATCGCACCGGGATAAGACGTAGTGCAGCTGCAATATGCTGCCACCGCACAGGAATCAGCGACATGATTCCGCGCGTGTGCCTGATCCATCTACGATGGAATAACATAGATTTTTATCTTCTTGCTCTCTATTCTCAGTATTCGGGCGCAGATGAGAGAGGGCGGTAAACGACCGTCACCTAGCAGGTGTCGTCGCCTTTCAAACATACACGGTACCAAAGGGAATCTTGTACCGTACTGACCGCATTCTCTGAGCTCATGTTGGAGATAATTGCGTAAGTGCATAGTCACCACTCCACCTATGTCGGATCGATCGTGCCGAACTACGGATATGCCTGACAGTGCTATCTCGGTCATTTATATCGAGGTGTAACCATATCTCTGTTATGATGAGGTCACTGGGCTTTGATGCTTGACGCAGCCGCATTTCGGAGTTTACCCCATATGTCTTGAGCATTAGTGTACATTCAGGAAAGCTTCTTATACATCAAAAGCTATTAACTAGGGTCATATGAAGGATGTGGATTTGTGCCGACCGATAAGAGGCCGACACCTAATGGTTTGTGTGAAGTTCCAAATGTTGATGGGAATGCAATGCTTTTGGTCTCACGCACCTGCGGCATGTAGTTCATCGGTAGCTTTCTCGATAGCTACGGGTCAGTGTGCACAATTTTCTGAACAGCTGTTTTGGTTATAGTGAGTTGCGGGTGGTGTCGTAGCCGCGAGGACAGCGAGTGGCTGTGGTTCTCAAATAGCTATTTTCAGAGTTCCGAAGGAAGTGTGTTGCATAGGAACTGCTATCTACGGATAATTTCACCGCTATCTGTTGTGACTGCACCATTAGTTTTAGTATCCTCGGGGCACTGCCTTTGTAGTGTGGCGACACGGATAACCGGGAAATAAATGAAGTATGACGTCACCAGCACAGAGCTTCACGAATATAACGCCATTCTTTCAGATCATGAGCATGGGCTTCTTCGTCACTAGATGCTGGTCGTTCAGGCACGCCATGAACGAAAATGACTCTTTTGCTTCTCTGGGTGCAGTAGTCGTTCGAAGTATTTCTGTCTCACTGGCATTCGCCCCATGGAACTTCCGGATGTTTGCATATCCCACTGTCTTCAGTCCGCAGGCGGTATGCCGACAAAGACACGTCTGGACATCAACTGTGGATTCCGCTGTTACTCGCATTGGTCGGGACACACCATAATAGATCGAGGTTGGATGTCTAGTGATGCGCATTATATTAGTCGGACTGGCTTGAACTCCGATTCTTTCACAAACGAAATTCCATTACTTTGAATCATTCTGCTGTTTACCTATTAAGGTGTTTGCTTTGGACTCAGGAACGTTAGTGCATATAAGTGTCAAGGCCCCCTAGTTCCGCCTGATCTTCGGTGATATGGGAAGCACGGTTACCGGGGGCTTTGGTGATGTTGCACCCGGTCTTTGACCCGTTTTCGGCTGTACTGGGGGAAGCTACAGAGATCACACTTTGATTATATCGAGCATATGTTGATCGGTCTTTAGAGTGCTCCGAATTTCTTTGGTCCATAGGAAGGGTGGATGTTACCGATGTTGCATTAGTCGATACATTGGGCAAGAGAATGTAGGCGGTGGTGCTAGGCATGCTTCTATCGTTCGTGATGACGGTCTTCTTCATGGTTCCCAATACTGCATGGTCGTGCGAGCGCCTAGCCCTTTTTCTTGGTTTTGTGGTAGCAATTATGGGAGACGGATGAAATGCGAGGTGTGCTATTTTCGCCTCGAGCGAAGCAATTTTCGCAGTTAAACGATGTTCAGTTTCGGCGACTAAACTGTCCTACCTCCGAGTTAATTCTAGTATGCATTTTACAAGTGGAACCGCCGTACACATATGACAAATCAGGTGTATTACATTTCTTTGCTTCGGTTCGACAGACTGTGACTCAATTCGAATTGGACTAGCTAATATCATTTGTACACGTCAAGCATACTTTCACTACCTTTACACATATTTGTTTAGCACAATATACTACGTTTCTGGTTACCGGTGTCGTAGCCGTAATGGCCTATGGTCGTTGCTCTGTTTGCGGATAGGTTGCGCGTCGCCCTCGCCTAGCGTTTGGTCGTCGATCATCAAGTCAAAGTCAGATGACCGGGTCATCGTGCTTTGTATGTTGCGCCCGTGAGTTATACGATCCCGTGTAAGGTGTCTGGTGTAGACAGTTATCGTGCTGGGCAGGTTAGTCGGTCGCACAGGCTGAAGTCGGGAGCGGCGAAAGCTGACGGTTGCTTCCCCGAGAGGGTTCCACAGTGAACACGTAGCTGCAACACACGTTGATGGAGTAAGATGAGCATAAACTTGTTCGAAAGCTGGGAGACTACTCTATCGAGAGGTAAAGCTTCTGCTTGAAACTGCTCCCAATTTCACGAGTAAATAAAAGCACAAAATTACCCAAATTTGCAAAGCCGGTAAAAACAAGCCCCACCGTAAATTATTTCACAAGAAATGCTTTCAGTAAATGGAGCTCGTTAAACCGAGACAAAAATATGCAAAGCCATTGGCGCGCAACAAAATGTCACGTAGAAAATGAGAAATACGTGGAGCACGTATTGAGCGGCTGGCAGTCGTTTCGAATGAGCTTACACCGACTCATCTTCGTACACAATTCGCTCCTTGCTATCCCCTCTAGGCCTTGCCGAAGTTTGCATTAACGCCCGCAATACCTTGACTTCTCTGTGAACAGTTATCTAAATAAATAAACCGGCCACTTCTAGTGGCTTCTCTGTGAGAATGGGAACTGCTGGGGTGTTGATTCAATCATGTGGTTGTTCGTTGCGTTATGGTAGTGTGTAGTACATGTGCAAAAATCTAGTGGTCTACTTCTACCTGCTCACTAGTTCGCAGCAGTTGAGTTTAGCTTAAAGTGAGTTATGTTGCCTCTACACTCTGTTTAGCAGACACCACTCTGGTAGTGCTTATCATCCAGGTGATACATGGAGAACAGTGACCCTTGGTATTTTCGTTTTCAGTGTCCAGGAGAAGAGGATAGGTGGAGTTTCCGTACTGGTGCTCGCAACTTTCACAATGCTTCGTGAGTCGCGATGAAGAGAGGATAGAACGGCACTCACTACTACGTATCCAGTGAGCGCAGACGTGATCAAGAGAACCAGCAGAGGCCGTAAAGTCTTTCCTACGACTAGGTTTGGTTGTTCACGTAGCTGGATCTGTTTAAGCACTTGACGAAGCGTCCACTATTTCATTTAGAAGGTATCACAACAAAGCATGTGTTCCACTTAAAGACTACCATGATGGGTGGCAGTCACCAGTTGGAGATCACCACCAATTTCCGGTTACAATGGAGAAATGCTGTCATGTCAAACTATTCTGTTTCTCTTCAAAAACACCTGTTCTTATCTAATCTCGTTGATGTGGGTAGTGGGAGCAATGCTCCAGAGGCGTTCTGGTATCTCACTGATTATCACTTGTCAAACTGTTACTAACAAAGTTTAGTTTGGTTGGTTTTCGAGTGGATTACCTACCCTACCTGATCATTCCTTATCTGCTCCTTCTTATCCACTGGTGCTATTTTGTGTCAGCATTGGGCTTCGTGTCCAAATATTGCTCGTGCGCACTGTTGCTATTCGGCGGAGTTTGGAAGCCCGTGCGAACAGAAATGCACGGACCATTGAATACCTCTAGAATACCCTCGCCTGTGGTATAAACGTCTTCGTCTCGGTGTATTGCCACTGTTGAAGTTAGAGCTTGTGTCACTCGCGTTGAGACTACTGGATCTAAAGTTCAGCTAATCCCCAGGTAGTTGACAAGTTTTATCCTATCTTCCTAGCATCCGAAATACTTTATCAACATTGGTTTCTGTGTTGTATTTTACGTAGTCGGTTACATTCATACGAAGTTAGGGGTTGTCATTTACAGACACTTGCGCATAGTTGTAGGAGAGAAATGGTCATTTCTCGATGTTGTTTGGCCTCACCGTGATGTTCATATTTCGTCCGCTACCAGTGGCAGCAGTCAACCTCCACCAGACGGTTGGTAGCATGCGGTCCCGGATTTGCCTGTCACTGCGGCGAGCCACAGTACGCCTGCGCATACAGAAGGACCATGAATGACTTGCGCTGCACCACCCACAGCTCCATCTACACACCCCGTATCCAGTATAAACGCGAAGTAATAAGTTCGGGAGGCATGTGGATGGGAGCAACGTTTCATCAACGGAGCCGGCCCACACTCCTTTTACAGACAAACACAAACACGCTGTATTTGGGAATCAAGCACACACAAGGCGGTGGCTGGACCGCAGTCCGCTCCACACTGAATGGAACTACTCTTCATGCACATATAGTGTGTCTGTCCGTGTCAAGTGTCGTTTGGTCCGTAGTTCACCAGATACGAATTAGAAGACTATGACAGCTGTAAAGTTAGTCTTCATTCGACGCGTGAGGTTTTTTACTGTTCCTTTGTTCTGTTCTAAGAAAAAGCCACTCTTGGTGTTAATAGTACTGCTGGCACCCAATTGATTAAAAATCTACTTACCTCTGAGCAAAAACTAACTTGTCTTGTGCAGTGATTCTCTTCCAAAACCCCTATGCGTAAGCTGGATCCATTGATCAGCTCCACTGCATCAGGATCCCGTAGAAGAACAACTTTTGAATATGCATTGTCAGACAGCACCGGACCTGGCCTGACTATTTTCTGCTTTAGCGCTGAAGCGAGGTGGCTGATCGGGGGATCGATTAATTCAACGCCGTGCCATAGATATCCTTGAAATCGACGGAATGCCGGAACGCCAATGACCCCCAACTGACTCTTGTACTCATTGTGGCTGATGCGTCTGTCGTAGTAGACAATCTCTCCTAGCGCAAAATGAGACATCTCCCATCTCGGATCCAACTGACCGTTCGACTCCTCTGCTTTGATATTAGCTTGTCTCGGAGATAGCCAGGTGGACTCGTCCTCATCATCCAGTCGACCGAGAACAACGTGCGGAGGAGCCAATCTCTCTTTGAGCACTTTATCGCCTTTTGTGTCACGTATTCCGTAGTTTACTCCATCTAAAAGCATTGCTAGTCCTCCCTTCTCATCCCATAAAATTCCAATATTTATCCACTGACCTGAAATTGAGGTAATAACCGCCAACAAGTTAATAACCGCAGGACATATCTCTGTTACTATACGATTTTCTGCCGTATATACTAGTGCATGCGTAGTCACAGTACGCTCATTCGAACCGGATTTACCAGCTCTACACAGTGATCCATCATATGTGGAATTATCTTTTAACACTAAAGTCCTAACCATCGCTAACGGATTTGACTGTCATCCGTGATTGAACACAAGCGGATAACTCATTCACCTTGTGCCAATTGCCCTTCTGTGTAACACCATTCGGTGCAGAGTTCTCGAGGCAGTCTGATAAGCCTGTTTATTCCAAATGGGTGTTTCTCAACCCATCTGTGAAGGAATTTGTGATCTCTCAATCTATGTCCCAAACCAGCTGGGCCTAACCTCGATCGATCAACCGACCAAGACTGCAACGTGTGCTCACAAGGGATCACCGCTGGCAGCGGGCGCGCCACACTGACTCACACTTATCATTGACGAGGGAAGCTGAGGGCGTGAAGCCGTCGGCGAACATGTCTCACGTTAAGCGCAAGTGTGAGCTATGTGTTAAATTGGTGAAGTGTGAGCTAGTTTGCAGCAGTTGCTTGAAAACCTATCACACAAATGCCTTGGGACACAGTCGATAAAAACGAGACGGTACAATAACACGACAGAGGCGTTTTGCTTCTGCCCAGTAAGCAGTGCTATCCCAGTTCTTACCTGTCTAACTGTGCTACTAAAGAAGCGTGAAAGACCAACATAAGCAGTCAAGCAACTGGTGTGCGCCAGGGTTACACCTATGAGAGGAAACGGACCTGCACTTGTGTGTGAAAATAACACCCCGAATTCCCCTATTAGGTCAAAGAAGAGACAAGCGTCCCAACATGACTCCGACGACTCAGTCTCAGTTAGTACCAACTCCTCTCTCTCTCTCCCATAAGTAAAAACATTGCCTGCAGCGTTCCTGCTTCAACTTATGTACAGTTTGTTACACCTGGTAGTTTGTTCACTATACAGGAGACCCTAATCTGCAATCAACCAGCGATAGTGAGGAACCAGGTAACATACGCATCGGTTGCCGCCAAGCAAACACCGGAAATAGCACCGGTAACCTTGGTGGCCGGACTAGAGAAAACTAACATGTTACTGCACGGATGACACCCATCAGTGCCGTTTGCAAATTCACCAAAAGCACAGAAAACTAAGGCTTCAAAATTAGCAACCACCAGGTGCAACCATGGTGCCTTAAACCTTGTGTGCACTAATGTCCCCGAATCCAAATCCATTACAATTAAGGGTAGACTGACAGACGATTGAACTCAGTGGAGTTCCATCTGTACGGCAGTCGGTGTCCATGCTGATCCCATGACCTTAAATCGCATCTTGCGTCACCCAAACGCATTGCACTACGGTTGACCCTGGTTACTTCGGGTAACGCTGAACTCGGTGGATGAGACAGAGGCCGTTCTGGTGTCTGCGAATCGACTCCGCAACGCCTCAAGTGGTGTGCGCATACTACCTGAATCCCGTGGAAAGGATATGCAGTGGATTCAAATAACAGAAAGAGGAACAGGAAAAGTCAGGGTAAGAAAACTGTGATTGCTCACGGTGTTCCTGAACTTACTTATTCCTCTTCCGACGATGCGCAGGTACACGACCGGGAGCGATGGCATTACATACGTGAGGCTCTTTCTCTCGAAAATGTCGTGGCCACCTCCTTGACAAGGATCCTCTTATCACCGAACTATAAGAGGTGCGGTCCCAGGCTGTTGAAACTGGTGTTGCAATCAGAACTAAGCTCACAAACTCTTCTAGAGAACTGGACTAAATTCCGTAGCAGGTTGCCAACAGAAATTCGTCTGAAAGCAGCAGGGACACCACCACCTTCTAATGACAACTCAGTGGAGGTACAACTCTCAATGAAAACACCAACTGTGGAAGTTGACTCGATGACGGTTTCAACAATACCTATAACATCCGGGGGGACACAGCAGAGCACGAGCAAACACCGAGATCCGGGGCATCTGATACCTGACTATATACCAAATTCGTCTCGAGAGTCAGCAATCTATCCAAAAAACGATTAGTGGCCGACCGTTTGTTCGTCGGCGTAAACTCACTTGCTTCATCCATTCCACCCAACATATTTTTGGTCTCCGAGAAGCTCTCATGTATGTCCACAAATGCCCAAGTTCCACTCAGCAAATTAGCTGAATTAAGACTTCGACACGTGTCAGCAGTTTGGGACCTCACGGCTCTCACGGAAACCTGCTTGCGCTGTGAGATAACGGATGCCGAAATCGCGCTAACAGGTATGTCCGTTGTCCGGAATGTTCGAGCCAGCTAAGGTAATGGGGTAGCCCTCTACTCTCGTAACAACCTGCAGTGCGAACCCATACACGATTCGGAAACCGATGTACCTGACTCCATTTGGGTGCATGTTCCGTCTGAGAGGGAACGATCTTGGCCAAGTGGTTGTTGTTTACCGTCGATAATCGTCTACACCTGAGATGGACAGCAATTTGGTGACTGCGTTGAGACAGGTGATAAACTGGAAGTACAGTGAGGTTCTAGTCGCCGGCGATTTCAACTTACATGCTGTAGAATTCCAGACCACATCAGGAGAGCAATTTAAAGCAGACCTGCAAGATCTTATCTCAGATTTTCCGCTTTTTGGTCACGTCACTTCACCCAGCAGATTCAGGGGAAATAACAGGCCATTCATATTAGACCGAATATTCACTAATGAAGAACTGATGATCGAGAGAGTGCTAATCGATACTCCTTTAGGCCGCAGTGATCATGCGACTTTGCATTTCATGTACACTTGCTATGCTGAATAGCTCTAGGACCGAACACAAACAACGCGAACCGTAACCAGTTACGACATCTTAACCCGCCTTGTTGAAGCGACCGACTGAAGTTTCCTAACCGAAGATGCACCCGATATTGCCTGGTTAGTGGAGCATCGGAGACCAAGACTATTAGTTCGAGAAACTTGACCCGTTTGGAATTCTCAAACAAAAGTCCCCTTGACAACATTTGGGCAGAGTTCGTTAATAAGCTCAGCGACATCGTCAACAAAGCATCAGAGACCAAACCCCTTCGTCCCGCGAAAATGCCTTCAATTATAAGGAGTAGGACTCGCAAATGCCTGGCGATAAGGGATGCAGCATGGCGTGCCTACAAGATTAACCCCGACTCAGAGACTTGGGGGAATTTCCTGACCCATCGCCACCATTGCACTGCACTTGTCCGTGAGGACAAAGTAACTTATCAACAGAGCCTAGCCAAAAGTTCATGGCAAACAACAAACTGCTGTATAAGCATGTCAATAAGCTTCGTAAAGTGAAGCATGGAATGCCCCCACTATTCACGACAGGCGGTAGAGTACAAAGCGCCGAAGAAGCAGCTAATGCACTGTGGCTGCAATACGCCCCAATTTTTGAACTCGCAACATCTACCTGTCCCATAATATCAAGCTCATTACCGACACCTTTGTTTACAAATGTTATTTTCAACCCATCAATTGTGCTAAGGAAGTTACTCTCACTGCGCGAACATAGTTCTCCGGGAGCAGACAACATCCGCCCGAAGGCACTGAAGGCTACGGCCACCAAGCTAGCTGAACCACTGTCACAGTTCTTTCAAAGGTGCTTTGATGAACAACGAGTCCCCACTATGTGGAAGTGTGGCATTATAACCCCTATTTTTAAAGGCGATAGCCGTTCCCATCCTGCAAACTATCGTCCAGTGACTCTCCTCCCTGTACTCGCGAAGATGATGGAAGCAGTCGTCGCTGAGGCTTTGATGGACTATCTGGAAAAATGCAACATCTTGGTAGTGGAACAGCATGGCTTCCGTCAACACCGGTCATGCACCACCAACCTACTTATTGCTCGAGGTAGTTGGACGGAAGTGGCCGATGATGGGGTCGGAGTCGACGTCATCTATCTGGACTTTTCCAAAGCTTTCGACCGCCTCGATCACCGCATCCTACTTCAAGGGCTTCAGAGTTACGGAATCGGAGATCCTGTACTTGGTTGGATTGGCAACTTCCTTTACCAACGAAAGCTCCAAGTACGTGTTAGGGGATCACTTTCTAACCCAATTGAGGTGGAATGTGGTGTCCCGCAAGGCTCAGTGCTGGGACCGCGCTTATTCCTGGTGTTTATCAACGACCTGGCAAGAGTCATCTCCTCAAACTTCCTGCTTTTCGCCGATGACGTCAAGATATGGCGGGCGATTAGTAACAAGCCAGATCAGGATCTGCTCCAACATGACCTAGATTGCATTTACGAATGGTCAAAGAGTAACAAGCTTCAATTGAACATGGCTAAGTGCAAAGTGATGCATCTGCGTCACCAGCTGGTGAGCGCCTACAAGATTGGAGACCATACCTTGGCGAAGGTTTCTCATGAGCGGGACCTGGGTGTATTGGTACAGGAAGATCTCGGGTGTTCCAAACAAGCAGAGAAGGCGACGAGAACCGGCAATCAACACTTCGGCCTTCTTCGCAGAGCCTTCGGTCGGTTTGAACCATCAATATTTCCCCAAATGCTTAACGCCTACGTGCGCCCGCATGTGGAATATGCTATTCAGGCGCGGCAGCCGTGGCAGAAACAGGATCTCATTGCTCTCGAGACTCCTCAACGACGGGCAACCAAGAACGTCAGGGGCCTCTTTCATCTGCCCTATCAGCTTAGACTGAAATCTCTAAGAATCTACAGCAGTCGATATCGGCTTTTGCGGGGGGATCTCATAATGGTTTACCAGATTCTGAAGAACCCAAACCACATTTGCCGTCCGCTGCTGGAATTGAACCCCAACATTAAACTAAGAGGTCACCCTCTGAAACTGACAATTCCTTACAGCCGGCTTGAATGCCGTAGAAATTTCTTTTCTCTCCGCGTGTGTGAGCCTTGGAATGCCCTCCCTAATTATGTCGTCTCTGCTCCCAATCTGGCGATATTTAAAAAACGTGTTGACGATGCGTTGTCTCACTTACATTTCCTTTTATGACTTGTTAGCCAGGGGCTACAAAACGCAATCAAACGGTTTCTTGCCAAACGCTCAACCATTGGATTTATGGATTTTTATGTTTAATACGCAAACACCTCTGCTATTTCACATAAGTCTATGGTGAGTCCACCACAACGCTTTTCACTTCATTATGCAATTTATTTTCGCAATAATTTCCATCCCAAGGGACTTGTTAAGCGATGCTTTTTTACCCGTAATAAACCATTGTCCATTGTCCATACGTAGGACACGCAAACGCATGATGATGCGCAACGCGGCGTGGTAAGCCCACAAAACCGATCCTGGTAGGCATATGTTATCCACTGTACCCAATCAGTGCGTGAGGACAAAGTAGCTTATCAACATGCTTTAGTCGAACGGTTAACTGCAAATCCTAAGCTTCTGTACAAGCATGTGAACAGCCTCCCTAAGGTGAAAAGTGGATTTCCCCTTCTTCAAACAGCAGATGGTCTAACTCGGACTGCTAAAGAAGCGTCGAATGTTCTGCAACAACAATATGCACCAACATTTCATTGCATCACATGGTCTTCTGAATCTTTGGAATCTATGGTGCTCACACCAGGACTCACTTATATTAATTTTACGGCAGACATCGTGATGAGAAAGCTGCTGTTCATGCGCCTGCACGCCTGTCCAGGAATTGACGACATTCCCCCAAATTCGCTTGCTGTAGCGGCTACTATTTTGGCTGAACCATTGACGCGGCTGTTCCAGCACTGCCTTGACTAGCAGCACGTTCCTGCAATGTGGAAACATGGAATAATAACTCCCATTTACAAAGGGGGTAGTCGTTCCGACCCAGCTAATTATCGATCAGTGAATCTACTGCCAGATCTTTCGAAAGTTATGGAAGCTATCATTGCCGACGCACTCATGTCTTATCTGGACGACTTTGGTTACATTGCTCAGCAGCAACACAGCTTCCGCCAGAATTGGTCGTGCACAACCAATCTATTGTTAGCACGAGATAGCTGGACCGAAAGTGTGGACGCTGGTACGGGAGTTGATGTGCCTTACTCTGATTCCTCTAAGGCATTCGACCGGTTGGACCATCGTATCCTTCTCGCCAAACTTCAAGGATGTGGCATTGGGGTCCCTCTCATCTGGTGGATCTGTAATTTTCTCTCGCACAGGTATCTGGAGGTGAGAGTACGTGAATCCATCTCAGACCCAATTCACGTTGAATGCGGTGTGCTACAGGGTTCGGTATTGGGGCCCCGTCTATTCTTGGTTTTCATAAACGATCTAGTGAGTCAAACTGCGTCAAACTATTTGCCCTACCTCGATGATATCAAAGTTTGGCGAGTGATCAGAGCTCCGGAAGACCGCATCCAGCTTCAAATCGACCTTGACGAAATTTATGAATAGTCGGTCCAAAATCGCCTTTTCTTAAATTTGGCGAAATCTCGAGTGCTCTATTTAAGACACGGAATGGTTCACACATATAAGCTGGGAGATCAGGATCTGTAACCTTGTTTTCTCGAAAAGGATCTCGGTATGCCGGTTCAGGAGGATCTCGCCTGCTCGGGGCCGTCCAGAAAGGCTTCGAAGAAGTGGATCCAAATCGTGGGACTTTTACGGAGAGCTTCCGGGCAATTCGAACCGTCGATTTTTCGCCAAATACTTCCCGCTTATATACGCCCACATGCTGGATATGCAATTCAAGCATGGCACCCATGGCTAAAGCGGGATCTCACGGTCTTGGAGCTTCCAAAACGTCGGGCGACCAAAAATGTCAAGGGGCTGCGCCACTTGTCATACGAACAGCGCCCCAGAGTGCTTGGAATTTTCAGTGGACGTTAGCTGAGTCTTCGTGGTGATATAATCATGGTCTAACAAATATTAAACGACACTCATCACCTCTGTCATCACCTTTCGAAGCTCAGTCACAACAGCCAACTGAGAGGTCATTATCTCAAATTGGCAGAACAATACAGTCGGTTGGAGTGTTGAAGAAACTTCTTCTCGCTGCGTGTTTACCACACGTGGAATACCCTCTCAGAAGCTGTTATTTCAACCCCCACGTTAGCCGTGTTCAAAGCATGTGTCGACAATGCACTGGCCATACTACACCATATCACTTACTCCAAACGACCCATACAAACAGCAGAAAAACAAAAACACACCAACCTACCTCCAATTTTGCCCGGAAGCCACAAAGCATAACCTTGGATAGTACATAAAACGGACGGAAACGCTGCAATCGGCAAGTTCGCAATTTGCACTTGTTCACTATTTCCCATTGCCATTTTTGCCTTTATTTTGCTCACTTGTAACCGATCATCCGGCGGAACATGTCAAGTTTCGGCTATTTTTATCCGCAATGTACCATTGACGATCAAGCTCTGTACAATTTATCTACTGGACAAAGACTGTGCTTTATATGTGCCACAATTGTGGGGGATAACTGGTTGATGCTAGAGTGATTTTCACAGAAATATCATTTCTCCCAAAACTCGATCGGGGTGTACCCCAGGTGCTGAGTCATGAACGGTTGCGTGGCTATGTAGGCTGACAGAGAGATTAGACCTCTCTGCGCATACATCGAACCCTGCGTGGTATTACCGGCGTCTTGCAGTTCAACGGTCACGCAGAGGCTTGTATAGTGTAGCCCAATCCGCTGCCGTCGGTTTAGCGCCCTAATTTGGAGCTTGTACCGATTGTCGCATTCACCATTGCGCCAGTGACATCGGTCGGTCGTGGAGCAACTTCTTTTGACACCAAATTCAACGCGTAGGATGCAGCACAATCGCTCTCACACACATTAACATTGGTAGGCTGATAATATCGTCGGAGACGAGAAGTCACAACTACTGACCCGTTTCGATTGAACAATGATTTGCAGCCCCCTGTTTGTGCTCCAACCAAGCTCTGCTAACCTTCTGCAAGTAGTTCTCCTATTCATCGTAAAACAGGTCACCAACTACAGTCCATTGTTGGAACAGAATGCACTGCAACGACTAGGTCTCCACTGTATGCTGCTAAGAAGCAAGCGAACGGTAATCTGACTATTGCATCCTTGGACCATACCCACTTCGAACCCTTGCCACATAGTGAATTAATCCCGCCTCTCTATTTCTTCCGAATGCCCGGGTCCTCGCGTGCAACAAACGCGCATGAGCAATTGAGTTTTCCTCTGTTTGTCTGCGTGGTTCCTCGTTATGATTTCGGCTGGTCCATGACCCTGGTTAACAAATACAGTATGAACACAAGCTGCGGTTTAGTGGCGGCCACGCGTCCCGTAATGTATATGAGTGCGGTAGCTTGCTTATTCATTTGGTAGTGCATTTGAAGGCAACAGAGATGGAACAAACGGCTGCCGCATGCTTCTCAAGCTACTCACCCTGTTTATAGCTATTCGAATCCGAAACAAGCTTCCAGTCGGTGTAGCGTTGCGAGACTGACACTCCGAGTAAAGAGGCTTCGCTGAATATGGTAACACCACGATAATCCCGGACGGTGAGAGAGGAGGTCCCGGAGTCACCGGAATTCAAATAAAATCGCAGTCTCGCTGTACTGACCGTTATGATCTTGATCCACATTGAAATAGTGAATCCACGTACTCCGCAAAGCCGTTCACTTGGATTGTGGAGGCAGTGTTTGTCCCAAACGATGTTCCTCAGAGTTGGTGTGCTTGATTTTTCTCGACCTACAATTTCAAAGGATGACAAATTCCCTGCGCTGGGTGGCATTTATGAATTCGGTTAAACGTCAATGGAACAATTTGGGTGATGATCACTTAGGTGAATATTCCACGCCCTCATTCATTTGTCTACTGGAGATTTAAGGACCTTAGAAGAAATTGTCAATAGTGCATGGTGGGAATATGATAAGTTGACCAGACCTACAGCATGGCAAGCGCAAACCAAAATCAAAGTGTTCCGGCATGGAACGTGAAATATCAGAAGTCTAGACATTACACTTTATCATACTGCTGTGTAGCGTTTATCACTTAGATGGAAGTCTAATAGTCTTTCCCAAGTCACCATGTCTGGCGCGTTCATCACGTGTTGGCAGTGCATTCCAGTGGGAACAGATTCTAAGAGAGTAAAATACTGCAATCTAAACGAGAGTGTTGCGTTACTGCTTTCAGGTGGTGGCCTCAGCATTGTTTGTAATGGGATACGGTCAGCAGTGATTTACATGGGTGCTTGCTTTCCAGTATGCGAGAATGAGCTATCCGCTAAGCTGTCGGTATTCTGAGGATATCACACCGAGTAAACGAAGGCACAGTTCGCAAGTGAGACCGGACAGTCTACGTGTTCCTTTGGTAGTTCTTCTTTCTGACTGTTCCAAAAGACAAATGTTTCGTTTTAACCATGGACGCCAGATCTGAACCATTTGCTGTTATCCACCTCCCAAATAGCTCACAGGCATTGTGGTTGCTAAGTTTCGGTAGAGTAGACGCTTTGGAAATCAGGCAGATTTCTGCGCGGTAGATAATGCAACTGCCTCTCCCTCCCCAGGCCACTTATTAAGTGGGGCTCATTTTGAAGCACTTCTTGTGTAAAAATGGATTACACGCAATTCACAATGTTTCCCTCCGCTACTTGGTGGCTTAGAGCCGAGGGCTTCGACTAACCTCTCAAAGATTCTTGGCTTGAGTCACAGTCTTGTTGACGACTGCAAACGAGTACTACCCATTCATCTTTCGATTGCATCAAGTAAACAGCATAGCATATCCCGAAACGCTGGCTGCCTAGTCACAACTCACAAAGTACTAAGGATGGTCAGATTACCAAAGGCTAAGTAGAGTTTTTAACGCGCCATTGTCGTCTAACAATCAGTCGATTCATTTAAACCTTTTAAATGTAGCGAAAATCGTACCAACTGTAAGATAGCTAGTGAATCGTGGATCCGAACCGTGACCACTACGAATTTCTGTCTATCGTAGAAAGAATTAAGGCACGCTAGCACAACACGTGTGTGTAGGTGATCGATTCAGCATATTTTACTTGAATTGGTTTAAATGATCATTAGTGTCACTAAAAACAACGTGCCTGAATAATATTTCAACTATGAATTGTCTAGCTTAATCGTCCGGCCTTATGTCGGGGCCATCCGTTATTGAGAAGCTTACTGGGCACATATTCTGCTTGATTGTCCATGCAGTGTATCCTGTCATATGAGGGTTTACAGAAACTTCTATCCCCATTTTGTTATCGCGAATGGAATGCATTAGACCAGCCGTTAATCTGCTGTTAGTATTTCTAGCATCGACAGTCAATGCCGAATATGACGATCATCGCTTACCTAACACCATATATTGGTTCGGATGCATTTCAAACACTGGCACAGTGGATTTATTCATATAGTCCAAAGTGTCATAACGAAAAGTTCCCTTCACCGACTTGTAGATTGACGCCAACGCATAGCCCGATCCTCCGATGTTCCACCCGTCTTCTCTTTGTTTTAGATATTTGTATTTTTGTCGCATTTTTATATGCGACGGACTGTCTTGAAACAGAAAGATATCTGGTGTCCAGTAATGGGAAGCACGTGACAGGTGTTCAAGCTGTAATCCTGTTCGGGAATGAAAGAAGAATGCATCAATTCGCAGATTACATGGAATAGAGAAGCGACACCGTTAAACAGATTGCTGAATATCTTGGACCTCTGTGTTTATCACTAATACCACTTCTGTCTATATGTTCCGAGTACATCGTTCAACTCATCCGTAATGTCACTTGTATATCTTGTCAACTACGGATATTGACGGTGGATCCATAAAGACGCTATTCGTTTGTCTCCGATAAATCGATCACTGATTGGGATAATAAGCAGCTTGGCAATCTTCTAAGAGGTGGCTCAGTGGCTGTTGGTCCACTTTCGTATAGATCTTTGCTCTAAATTGGCCATAAGCTACGTTTGACTACTACTCTGCTGGTGCGTGCCCGAAAACTGGTCAGTATTCTCTCACTGAGTTTTAGTCGTGGTTTAGCTTGCGACGGGAAACTGAGAAACTGTGCTTCCTCGACTACAGTCCAGATTCCCAACAAGCATATGCGAAGGAATCCGTACTTTTTCGGGGCACGAGCTCACTACCAGCATACGAGGGTCGATTACCTGGCTGCTGATATTCTTTCTAACATCACCTGCAAATTGTCCTGGCAACTGGATGTCTGAAGCCACCAGTAGAACCAAGACACCATTAAAATTTTTGGAGTACAGCTCAGACTGTTAACGCATATCACCCAAATCAGTAAGTAATAGGCTTTCCGTTGCCTCGGTAGTGTTCTGGGCACAAATGATATCTGTGTCCCAGAAGATGAATAAGTCAGTGCAGTGGATTAATCCTTTCGTCCTAGATAACGTCTTGGAAAAGCTATAGATCCTTCTGATGGAAAACAATCACACGGAACCCCTTTGAGGGACCAAATATACATCCGCTTTTTATGTCACCTTGCGGTGTTTACGGCATAACTCGCTAAACAGTGTTAGCTGGCTGCCAAAATTGACGGAATCGGCGCGGTATGCTTTCCACGCGATAGCACTTTGCATCTGACTGTGTAAACAATCTTCGACGTTACCGCCGGTCACAACTACAATGGGTCTATCTGTGATCTTGTCCTGTGCTGTCACTCTAACTGGTGCTGTAATGCCTGCAATCAACTTACAAAGGTCTAATCAGCCGTTGTGGCGACAGAGCGCACAACGAAAATTGGTTCAGTGTCTTAACATATTTCGGAAGACTGGGTTGCACTTATCCATCCGCTTGCGAGCTCTGCTCTAGCCCCCATCGCGAAGTTGCTGCAGTTGCACCCGGTGCTTGGATTGCGGACCTGAACCTGTGGTAGAGCAACGACGCCACAAGTCCAAGAAGATTCCTCGAGCTTACAGTCGTGGTTCCCTGCCCACTATTCGCCTGCAGCCACACTCTCTCGAATATTTTCACCTGCACAATGACTAACGCTCTGACTAACATGTTAGACGGTATGGCGTCGGCGTTCGGATATGCACTATGGCCGTATCATTGCTTACGATGCGCGTGTACCTGCGCTCCTCAGTTTCATCTCCTCCCCCCAATCATCTGGACCGTGAAATGAGTTCAGTGAATGAGGGATTGGCGTTGTATGCAGTGCATCTCCGAGCCCTGACGATTCACCAAGGTTACATTGCATGCGCCTCGAAGATGAGCACGTCCTGTGAGTACCAAAACATACCTTTGTCATCCTCATTCAACTGGTTGTCGACTCTGAAACAATGGACTCCTAAGAAACAGATCGATTCAGCTCACAAAGATTAATGCAACCTAAGCGAAGCCTTTATCAGCGCGGTGGTCTAGTTAATATGCATACTCTTTATATCGCATGTACATGCCAATCAGTTATGGAACTCACTTGTGTAACCTACGAAGCGGTGGGACTCGAAGTTGTACAGCGCACGATACCACATAGTTAGATCATTGAGGGAAACTCCTTTCGCACCTTGGAACACCAACTTGCTTCCGATGAAAAGTGAATAATTAAGTGTCTCCTTCGAACTGCCGTTTCTTGGCGGTACTTCAACTTGTTGCACCGGTACTGACATACCGTTGTAAAAGGCCTGAATGTGATGTATGGGAGCAGTGTGTATAGAAACACCCAGGTTGAACCACACGTCGCGAGGTACTGCATGCAAGATTCTGAACACACCGTTTGTTCCTTCTTCGCCAACTTCATTGTTAATAGAAAAATGAGAAATGCCGTGTTTCATTCGCGTCAAATTCTCCCAGGCAGTAAGCATAAACAATAAGACCTTGCTGCTTGAATGAAATGTATTAGACCCAATAGTGTGTGACAAGGTGGTAATCAAATCTACCTGTCCCAGTGGTGACGTGTTGCCAGTCCCTGGCTGGATCTGATAGCTTGATTATCCGACTTAAAGAGAACAGCGACGAGAAGGCGCTTTGTTGCAGCCAGAAATATTTGCCCCCAGGTTCGTTCGAAGGTTCCTGCATAACAGCAAATTCTCTACCACTACTACGCACTCAGGAGGTCGCCTCGATTAGTGGCGAGACGTGGGGAAGCAAATTGCCATACTCGGTGAACTAGTCGAGATTTCAACCTTTTCCTGTCTCAGCTTCTATTTATGTCCTTCCTGTTAACCGACAGTCGCTATTACTACTGGAGTTGAAAGTAGGCCTTACGGAAGGTTACTGAGGCAATCACACGATATTGTGGCCATCTGTCTGCAGAAGCCAGGCGTCTTACTGCCAGCCCCATTGGCATTAAGCAGTCTCATTCACTTCTAGTGTGTTAACATGAACTTCCCAGATTGTGCGTAGTATGTTGTATCGTAACTCGAAGTACAGCATGTGAACAGGTTGTGGCGAAGGATTTTATTTCTCGACTGCAGTAAATGTGTAAATCTCGCTGGTGATGCTTCCAGCGAAGCTGTTGTGGATGAAGAGCATCTCCGGTTGCTTTCATCTGGACACAACAAGCCAAAGCGATTAACATTGTCGAGAGTTCTGCAGTTATACATGTCGCAGAACTCGGTCCTTCAGGAAAAAACGGTTTATTCAGCAAAGCAAACTCAGCAAAAATGATAGCCTGACAAGCATGTAAGAGCCTTGAGATAAGTAATTAAGTCATTTTTATAACTAACGACGCTGCTGCACCCATTAGATTCTTCCTTTGAATCAGTTAAACAAACCCACTCCAGCAAACCAATCAGAGGGTATCCGAAGTATGTGCAGACGTTCAATCAACTGCTCTGTTCGCATGCGGCAAGCTTGCCGCTAGCTTGCACAATCCTATCACAGTACAGAACATTCCAAGTTAATTCTCTGGAGTTACTTAACTGTGTACGTGTACGCGGACGCACCAGCCTATCTGGTAGTATCCTATAAGCTGTTTCAGTTACAGTCAGCCGTATATACACCCTATGTCAGCATTAACACATTTGAACTCACCGAATATGTTCAATGTCTCTCTGAACAGACTCAGTGCAAAGACGCCATCCAGTTGGATTATGTCCGCAATGGTGTCCACGGCCACCAGAGTGGTTGGGACGTGCATCCAGAATCCGACTGACAGACCATTCCGACACAACCGCAGCCTCTTAGGACATTCGTTTGATGTAAATGTATTCAGCTGAATTGGTGAAGTGAGAGCATGCATGAGTGTAGCCGGAGATTGAATCATATGTCTGACCTAGAGTGAACAAGTCCTACAGGGATAATTCGACGGACTTTTTTGGCGGCTTCGAATTAACATTTCATTAGTCCGTGGATGGATGTCTTAGACGATTACCTAGGTAACAATTTAATTGCTCTGAAATTCTCAACCAAAAGTCCCAACAGTTAACTCGGTTGCTTGGGGTCTCACATTTGAAACTGTCTCAACGGTTGCGACCTATACAACCATGAACCAATCATACACACGCTACCAGTTAGTTTCTGGCGGTTTTGTGGTTAATTTTCTTGTCAACCTGAACCGCCGTAACCTTGGGAATGACATACAGTCGACTGAAACGATTCTTATCTCAAAGCGGTCAGGTGAATGACCGTATCTTACGTGTCTCTAACTGCTCCGAGTGCTCGTGCTCCTGGGAAATGCACCTGTGGGGTTCTCCTCTATTGCGGAAACACACACTAGTGTGTGACCATTGTGTGCGGTAAATCACGAAGCCACAGTACTGTATTCAGCTCTCGTTGTAATTTATGGTTTGTATTGTTTGAGAATCCCCCACTCACAAGCACGTTACCGTGCCGCATTGTGAAACTCTTATTTACTCACCTTTATGTACCCGTTGCTTGAGCCCAACTTGTATGCGTAGCGGTTCCTTGCGGATGCCGACTCGCGTATTCCATCGCGTGAGTTCAATCGATCCAGAGCCGTTTGCATGGGATGGTAGTAGTCAGCCACTTCGTACATGGGGTTATTAGGATATGCATCGCCCGGAAGCGGAACCAACTCCTCCAATTCGGATGTGTAGTCTTTGAAGTTTATATCCGAAACCGGTGACTCCATCGTGGTCATCGCCGTTTCGTCAGATAGCAAGTAAGTTTCTGTAAAACAGGTTATTACGGTGGAGCTGAAAATAGGCTTGACATGTGTCAGAGAATGGTTCGCTCGTTCAAAAATTGGTCTAGATGACATTCCATGCGCTAAGTCGATGATAGACGTGCCGGACTCAACTTCCCATCACGGGCAGGATCTATCTGGCTCTGCAGAAGCCACTCCGTAATTCCATAGAAAAACGCACGTTCATCTAGGTTAAATCAGTTGGGATTGGCTACCGAAATGATTGAAGAAGAAGGCAGTAACAGTACGCAGGCACAACGTACCGGCACTTCGCTGCGGTGAAGCCACTACCGGTCTCACGTGGGCTGGCTATACCGCGAGGTGGTGCGCGATTACGCGGATACGAGTTGGTGACCCCCAGATTATAAGGCAAGCATGTAATCCCTTCGGTCGAGGTGATTGCATGGATATTTCCACTATCGGTCAGGTTATTGTGGCGTTACGTGTGAGGATACTACTAGAAGTGTGTGTGTGTTGTGCCAATCGACTGCTGCACGTAACCCAACGGTTGCAATGCGCCATATGTTTGACCATAAGCGATCTCACACATTCCACCTGGTTGCGTGCAGATGCGTTGTACCAACGGTTCATACTTGCCCAGGAAAGTAATCAGTTGTCAAGTTGTCGGTGGGAATGGGTCATCATCCGTTTGCTCCGCCAACGTCATGTATGCGCGGCAAGATCAAGCGGTTGCTGGAGGTGTCATATAAATAAAAGCAACGCGGTGGCGGTTAGTTCAGTGCCTCCTGAAGGTGAACCAATTAACTCATTCCATCTTCCTGGCCAGATACTCCTACCGTGATCGCGCTCACAAAACCACTCTCATGTGTTGCCCTTCTAGGTGATCAATGCGCCTAACCTTTCGGATGCTCCGATAGTCCTTTAAATGTAATGACTCTATTTAGATTCAAAGATTTTTCTTCTTGTAATGAAAACCAGGATGATGCTCATGTCGACAAATGCGATGAACGTACCCAAGCTGGCAGTAAGTAGTTCGTCCAATCGTATTGGCCAATACCACATGGCGACGCCAGAAACTCGAAGTCCATGGGTCACACTGTCTGATTTCACTCGGTGCTTGGAGTCCACTGCGCAGCCCACCCAAAGGGTTCTAGGTTCCAGTTTGAATCCTTTTATTGGCTCACCTGTGTAGTGTGTCAGCTCAGCAATCACAATTCGGTCAACAAGCAGCTGTAGAATCAAAGAAGAAACCGAAAAGTAGCAATATTGGGCAATTCGGGTTGCTGCACTTCGAGTGCTTTCATACACAATCAAGCCCCATAGAAGCAGTCGGAACTGCAAACCATTACTTTTACGATGCGTGAAGAATGTTCAGGACCATGGGGTGAATATATACTTACCTGAAATGCTCGAAATACTGGTAGATTGGGTTGGCTGTTTAGATGTTTCGGTATTTGCCAAGTTCAGCAATTTGGTTGCACGCGCTTCGTCACCATTCAGGTTGTCCTCATCGGGATAAGAGAGTTAGGGCAAATTCATCCCTCCTACTTTCTGCACTTAGATCAATGCGAGCGGTAACTTTTGAAAATAGTGAGGTAAAGCATACTATCCAACAGCAGTTCCAGTACATCGGTTGACCCGATTATAATGCAAATAGGCCCTGCTCCGCTAACGAGTATATCATCTACTGGACAAGGTGTCATTTCCATCAAGTTAACAAGTAAGAGATCTTGAGTCAGCCACGTTTGTATGGGAGAGGAATCTTATCAAACTCACTCTAAGTGTTTGAGTACTCTTCCCCCACGTAACTGCGATGTTCACCCACTTGTCCGGAATTTTGGTGAACGGAGCCCAAATTGACCACTGTCGATATTCGTCCTTCAGTTCGAACCGCAGCTCATCCGCTTGCAAATAAAGTCTAAATCCGTTGGCGACGTCTGGACCTGTAAAATGAGTTGGGAGGAGACAGGGATTCAGCCGATTACAGTGCACTGGTAGCCCTACGCGGCGTATGCGCTCAAGTCTGTCGCTGGACTGTTCCGACTTTTCGCCACGTTTGATGGGGGAATACCACAAATCTAACATCTACTGTAGTCATGAGCGTGAAACATTTTCATAACTACATAATGCATATTTGACAACTTGCGGTCATTTAATGCATTTTTTCTTGAAGTGTATTCGAGACCAGTTGGGTTCATGGGGAGAAAGCTATCGAATGCGTGCTGACGTGGCAGACTGGATCCAGCAGCCACTCCGCCCCATTAACTGATCTGACACGACTTGATGTGCAAGAGATGCTTCTGCGTATGTTACCTTTCCCCACAATTGACCGATCCTCGCCAGACACACAAAGGTCCAACCATGCGATGGTTCGAGAGAGTTCCTCACGACCTAGCTTTAGATAATCCTCCAAGTCGCTAGCGCCCATGATAGCTGCGGCATAAGTGCCACATTTACCACAGCTTGCCGCTTAGTTATATTGTTCAACAGGATTAAGCATGTCCGCAAAACTCGTTTTTCACTATCATTGTGGTTGCGTCTGGGCGCTCTGACGGCCCATGGGTGGCTTTCAGTGCATCACTTGCAGATCAACTCACAGTCTATCTTCAGGGGAACTAAAAGTAAGCAGACTTTCTAGCGGGAGCCACAATTCTTCTCGACCATTTTACACCGCACCAATGCGCTTATCATCCATGGGTGGGGAAATATTTGCAACTGTCACCAAACTTAAAGATTGTAAGTGCATTCTGTGAAGGTAATTAATCATTTTGTTGGCTGCTGACGTGTGCTTACAAGCCACACGCACAAGCCAGTTTAGCGGAAACAAATGTACCATCCATCTATGGAACCGCGATTCCGTTGTAACCCCTTCTACGGTGGGGATACTTTTTGGCATTACAGTAACAAGAGGTCGCTGCATCCGTTTTCCGCAGCGAGGACCAGGCACTCTCAGTGGTCATTGGTTCAGACCTTGGGATCGAATGTACAGGCATTATGTTATTAGTCACGTTTAGCTCGAGGGAACCGTATACATCAGAAAAGTTGACCTGCAGTTGACACTAAGCCAAATACTCATGTCTAATCGTATCTGAAGGATAGCGTGTTCTAACCTACTTTGGCACATGCAATATATGGACGAACGGTTAAGCAAGTCAGACCGCTTCCAAGTACTCTGTTTACCGAACTGATCTAGGAAGTACCACGGACCCATTGCCTCACATTATTTTTGAAGGAAATTGACGTTGTGAGGAAGCTGTCTGATGGGCTTCGCATCTTAAAGTTGCGGCATTAAAAACTGTAACTCACCGGTGGCTAGAATCGTTTCCGAATTGGATACGTCGGTGCTGAGGAACTGAACCCAAGCGGCGAGACTGAGCCCGTAGTCACAATCTGATGCCGACAAGAGACACTTTCGCAGGTAGTATCTTTCCTCACGCAAATCATGTAGGAGTTGCATGCATTTTTGTCCCGAGTTCGATGAGCGCAACACTACACTCTTCTCGTATCCTTCATCCAAAGCCCTTGCGAACTCTATTTTCGAGGCATTGGACTCAAGGGGAGAATTCAGGGGGGCGAATATTGATTCAGTTGCGCTTTGAAGGTCGGCCACCACGTCAGCATCTGCCATCAAATCATGATCGTTGAAGCGGAACCGTTTATACACCGCGTCAGTCAGTGAATTTCTCCTTGGTGCTTTATCTACGATCCACGGCTCAATTTTGGAGTCTCGGAACGCCCAGTAGTGGTTAGCAGTAACTTCGTAACGAACATCTTTCAGGGAATAGTAACAACAAGAAAGAAACGGACATATATTCATGTGAGATACGCACAGAATGAAGACACTCAGTGTAAATTTCCGATGGAATATTCATGGAAGCGACAGCATGTGGTCATCGATCATAGTCAGTCAAGTAGTCTTTGCTCAAAGACGGGACCAAGATAATGCACAGCGTATGCACCGATACTACCGGTGTACTGTTCCGCGAACTGAATGCATGACGTTGTACGAGTTGCGTGAGCTACATACACCATTGCGATTGGTTCGCTTGCAGGTCAGATTACAACCGGCTCCTCGGTGGATAATGACATGACCGCATCCATGGCTAATTCAAAGGGTTTGAGGCATCACTGATGAGGATTATTCGAAATGTAGAACATTCGCAGTGAGTTATCAAGAACACCAGTCTGAGGCAAACACTTGTTTTCAATAATTCATCTATTTGCCGGTACAAATCATATTAGGTTAAAATACGCAGATAAATGCACAGTGATGTGCTCAGATGTAGATCAATGCTTAGACAGCAAATAGTTGGTCGTTGTCTTGCACACATACACACACAGATCGATAGGTTTTACCTAACCAAACTGACGACGCCGGCGTCAGAGTGGCGGTTAGGTTGACCGCTGTGCGGCCACGGCAGACGTAGCGATTGAACAAACGACTTTTGCGACCATAACGGAGGTTGGAATATTCGGATCGCAATAGCTTCTGCTGTTGCGAGGATTCGTAGGCGCAGACTTTTCGATTTGTTTAACGGAACCTGGTAAATGCGTTCGGAATGTTAACCCTATGATCTGATTCGAATAGATGGGAGAGAACTCCGCTTGCCAAAACTCCAGTGCCTCCGTTCACCAACCATTTAGGATTACGTTCCTTAATGCGATGTGACGACTGGCGAGCTGTTCGACTTATGTATGTTGCACCATAGGTGCACTCAAATCGATAGGTTATGTAAGAGGAGGTCAGCTTCGACGGTCTGTGCTTATTGCGCACAGGAATAAGCGGTTTGGTGGCAAAGATGCATCACAGTCCCGCAGCTGAAAAGGTGTTCCTTACTGACTGCGTCAGATTTTTTGTTACTAGCTCCGCAATTGTATCGCCTTTAAAGATAAAGCAAATGAAGTGAGCTTTCTCTTCAGCCACTTGCTCAACATCCGATGTTATGTTAAGCTGCGTGTTGCGCTGTATAAATCTATCCAGATGGTCATTTTCTCGTAGCGTGTTCTGTATGGATAGATTTATACAGCGCAACAAGCAGCTCAACGTAACATCAGATGTTGAGCAAATGGCTGAAAATAAAAATCTCTTCATTTGCCTTGGTTTTAAAGGCGACACAATTACGGGGTTAATTAAAAGAAAATTGACGCAGTCAGTAAGGAACACTTTTTCAGCTGCGGGACTGTGATGCATCTTTGCCACCAAACCGCTTATTCCTGTGCGCAATAAGCACAGACCGTCGAAGCTGACCTCCTCTTACATAACCTATCGATTTGAGTGCACCTATGGTGCAACATACATAAGTCGAACAGCTCGCCAGTCGTCACATCGCATTAAGGAACGTAATCCTAAATGGTTGGTGAACGGAGGCACTGGAGTTTTGGCAAGCGGAGTTCTCTCCCATCTATTCGAATCAGATCATAGGGTTAACATTCCGAACGCATTTACCAGGTTCCGTTAAACAAATCGAAAAGTCTGCGCCTACGAATCCTCGCAACAGCAGAAGCTATTGCGATCCGAATATTCCAACCTCCGTTATGGTCGCAAAAGTCGTTTGTTCAATCGCTACGTCTGCCGTGGCCGCACAGCAGTCAACCTAACCGCCACTCTGACACCGGCGTCGTCAGTTTGATTAGGTAAAACCTATCGATCTGTGTGTGTATGTGTGCAAGACAACGACCAACTATTTGCTGTCTAAGCATTGATCTACATCTGAGCACATCACTGTGCATTTATCTGCGTATTTTAACCTAATATGATTTGTACCGGCAAATAGATGAATTATTGCAAACAAGTGTTTGCTTCATACTTGTGTTCTTAATTATTCGAATTCACTTTATCACACGTCATGTATGTAAACACACGCATCGGTCAGTGTAAACTACATTAATTTTTTCTCGCCATACATTGGTCAAGACAAATCACGGTAGCGGTGTGGCTGTTGATGATCGACATGGGGCCAACGCAGCCCGCGGCTGGTAAGTATACAGGCAATAGCCCGTATGTTCTGAGTAATGTCTTATTTTTCTAATCGAAGAAATGTGTTACCGATTGCGTCGCTGTGTTGCGGAACACTGGACAATGCGTTTCCTTACAAAATATCTGGAAGAGCTTTACGTATTCTGTACTTGAGTTGTACAAGTGGTCGGTGTACTTCACGACCGATGTCTCAAAGTGTGGTAAATTATAGGCTAGCCATAATTCCCCATTAAGTACTGCGAGAACTCGCACGGTGTTGTTTGAAACCCAACTTAACCAGCTATGGGGTTGTGGTGAGTCTGGAGTACTACTATATCAGGAGCATGTAGCATAACTGAGGCGGGCAAACCCGGACGACGACTTAGAACTAAAGACCACGGCAACGGTCCAACACCAGATGAACGTCCAGCGACCACAGGCGGTCCAGCAGGAAGAATCACTGGACTAGCCCACAAAAAAGACCGCGAGTGATGGCACATCAAGCAACTTCCGTAAAGAGGACCGTGGTGATACCCAGTATCGCTCAGATGAGCGATAAGTGGTCATGCCCACTCCACTTAGTGGGTGCTCACTGTCTCAGTGGACAGCTCCTACTATTCTTTGTATTTTACAAGGCGGAATAACATTTAATTTTGCGACAAGGGTTGAAAGTACACAACGGAGGAGGAATGAGGGTACCAAATGTCTACCGGCTCAGTGTGAACCCACGGTTTGTAGAAAAATGGCTTGTCATGTGGTTCTCCTATAGTCAAAACAACATTTGATGCGGAGCATCATTTATATTGTGTGAACACTACACGTAAAAGGACACGATTGCAATGTGTATACACGGCCAACAAATCAAGACCCGTTGGGTCACACGCACTTTTACTCACCGACGATTCACGTGCATCGCCTGAGGCAGTAGCTGGTGATAACCAATCAAAACAGTCCTCCATCTCTATACTAATGTTTGATATTGTTCTACGCTCCACTTTTCACCAAGTGACTGCGATGACTGTATAGATGGTGTCAAGTCGTCATATTTTGGCAATACTTCCGGCGACATTGTTAAGGTTGCAAGTGATGGGCGCTTTCTTCATTCGTCTTCTGGACCCACAGGCTGTCATCGTATTTCGTCCAAATGATGTCGAAGTACCCTTCCGTCCTCTACCTCTGTCTGCTCTGCGCTACCATTTCTTGATTTCGGAACTCCGGGTACCCAGTTTTATCTGTTTGCCTCAGTTTTAAGTACACTCTGTTGTCTCTCAACCACATCATACTTCGTGCTCATGTCGTAGCTTCGTTCGTCGAAGAGTGGCGTTTGAAGATCATTCTATGCATGTCGGGTTTAATCAGATCCAACGGAGGGCGCAGACGTCGCCCCCTCAGAAATTCACGCGGTGCATGATCCGTGGTAGTGTGTGGCGTAATAAGGTACTGTAGTAGGGATTTGTCAAGGCGGGTTTATAAACTTCCAGCCTGTTGTTTGACCACACTCTGTTTAATTTTCGCAACCGCTCTACCCGCCGGACCATTGGACGAAGGGTGTTATGGTGCCGAACGACCATGCTTGATTTCACTCTGGCGCGCTGGTTGTCCAAACTCATCGCTGGTTAATGACGAACATCGCATACCATGCGTAGCAAATATATTCCTTAAGATGGGCCATTGTCATAAGGACACTGACAAAGATGATTTGTTCCCTTGGCACCTAGCGCACACTTGTACACTTTGTTCTATCTCGCGATCGACTCCGAGGCACCAGATATAGTTGCGCCCTAGTGCCTTCATCTTTGAAGTTCCTTTGTGACCCACAGGTAGTTTCCGTAGGATTGTTTGAGGATGCCGTTTAGGAACGGTGACCCGTGAGTCTCAAAGTATACAACTATCCCCAGAACAGCTCATCTCCGACTGTGAAATGTCCTCAAACTCTCGTCCACCCTATCCGGCCAACAAGTTACAATGTACTCCTGAACCTTCTACTGTTAGGGGTCACACATTGTTTCCAACTTTATCTCCGTTACTGTCACTGGCGAATCAATCATTTGCACCAGTTCTATGCAAGCTGGCGTGTGGCTCGGAACCTCCCGTAATGGAAGTAGACTGAGAGCACTGGCATACTGCTTCCCCTTATCTGGAAGATATTTCAACTGATACCGTTGGCCAGGGAGGAGTGAGGCCTATGGAAGCGAACAGAGCGATGCGATTTTGTGTATCGCTTTTGACTCACTCAGAATTCCCAGTAATGACTTATGACCTATGTGTATTTCACATCTCTGCCCGAACAGGTATTGGTGCAGACAGACAACCCTAAATACGACCGTCAAATACACCTTAGCAGTTTGGCGTAATTTTGCTCGGCCTAGGATAAGCTCCGAGAAGCAAATGCAACTGGTTTGTTTTCTCCTCTCACATTTAGCTGTAACTGGGCATTCCGACTGTGGAGGGCGATACATCACATACCAATGTCATGTAGTTTATACTCATAGTCAGCCGAAACCGGCCAATTCCCTTTTGGCTTGGCATAAACCTAATTCCTCCGTCTCAGACCACACTCACTGAGTGCCTTTTCATAGAAAATGTTGCAAAGACTACAACACTGTGGCTGATCGTGGAACAAACCCATCACCCTGGGCGAGGTAGAAAAGCTTGAGCGGGTGCAGCATGTAGCTACCAGGCTGATTCCCAACTTACGAGGTATGCCATATGAAGACCGATGTAAGAAACTAGGGCTGTACACCCTAGCATATCGTCGGCTGAGAGTTGACCTAATCATGACGCACCGGATATTACATCTGAGTGATTACCCCATGTTGAGACAACTGCTTCATCTGCGCACACCAAGCGGCACGCGAGGACACCGGTACAAACTTATCGTACCGCAGTTGAAGCGGGTAGCTCACCAACTCTGTTTCGAACGTAGAGTGGTGAATACCTGGAACAACCTGCCGCAGCCGGTAATAGAGGCGAATTCAGTGGCCGAATTTAAAAAGCTTCTAGACAAACATTTCGCAGAGGCAAAATATAAAGAGCGGAATGATAATTAATAGGTTGATGTCCAAGAGCGACAATTGATGCAGCTACACAGAGTATGCTCTCCTCGCTGCTACTAATCAGCATCAGTATCAGTATCAGTAAACCTTAAGCAGGGCTTGTGCATCTCCAAGCACAGCCTCAACTCTTGTTGGTTCCTTGGCTTTTGTGCCTCGAAAATAGACCGAATTTTCGCATCACTCTTCTTCAGTCCCTCTGCACAGATCCGGTAACCCAA